CATTCTGGATATGATACAATTTGAAACACGAAATCATGAATTATAATTTTATAAATAATCATAAAAAATAATATAATAATAATAAATTTAATTCAATACTATAATCAAACCAAAAACACTGAAATTTGAAATACAGAGGCAAATTCGCACATCGCTGAGCAAAGTCGCAAAATCGTTTTCAGTGTCTGATGATGAATTTCCCCACGAATCATTATCACTCAATTCTGCAAGTGGTTCTGATTTACTATCGCTGTTCTAAAACCGCTTTTGACGTAAAGGGACGCTTTTTGGACGCCATGGACTTTTCTAAGTTTCCAGGCAGAAAGAACATTCAAAAATGCAGGCAGGGCACAGGACAAAGCAGTAGGGACAAAATATATGTGAAATGCATTGAAACAGCAATGACAGCAAAAATGACATTTTTTAAAAATTTCAAATTTCCCACCGGTTCCGACGCCCGTACGTCCCGACGTCACAGGGACCAGAACACAGAAGCCGGATGCCGGCATCGGCCGGAGGAGATGGCCGGGGATGCTGCAGGGGACACATCGCGGGAGCGAAGGACAAGGTAAGTGCTGCAGGGACCCCCAGAGCAACGCCCGCAGGGTAAGCCCGAGTGTAGCTCGGGGGTTACCGCTCTTGGTATAGAAATTTTACCCCGAGCTACACTCGGGGAAAACCGCTAGGGAGGTTAACTACACTCCCATCCACTAACACTCCCCATTAGCAGTTCCGGGTGCATGCGAACGTCCTTCCGCAAAACGTGATGATGTATTTCTGGTATGACAGCTGCTCTAGCGCCTCCTCCAACAGCCGTCTTGGCATTTATTTGTGCACCATAGTAATTTTCCATGTGGCTCCATTGTGTATTTGGCATTGGCGAATATATGTTTGCAGCTCTATTGTGTATTTGGCATTGGCGAATATATGTTTGCCGGTAAAGGCCCAAAGTCAACATAAATTGGGGGCCTAATTTATTACTGTTAAGAGGATTGTAGAAAAAGAATAGCTAGCGGCACACTGAACAGGACCTGTTCATTGGTACAGAACAATGTATTGTGGTGCAATAGGGGGCTTTTGGTTTGTTAGTTTGGACATACTTGCATATGTGCACTCTAACAAGCTAGATTTGGGCATATTATATAGCTTGCAAAATATAAGTGTTAGGGGTGCTAGTATATTGAACTTGAACATGACCCCCCCCCCAAAAAAATACAGTATAAACATTTATTGATCAAATATATATTCCACATTTATTTGGACAGCAGCAACAAGTAGGTTATCATGTACCTGGTGGTGGAGGCCAATGCAGAGAGGGCTTCCTATGCGGCTAAGTTCCAGACTCCCCTGAAAGTGGGACAGAGGGAGTCAGGCCCAAAGTGGCACAGGTCGCCTGTAGGAGTGCTGGTTGGTGGTCCACTCAGAAGCACAGCTGGTGCACGGAGACAGGTCTGCAGACAGGTAGCTCCTGTGCGTAGTATGCAAGCCCTTCCGGGATTAGAGATTTACTGGATAACCAGTTCAAGCCAAGGTCAGGCACCGGGTGGGAATCAGAGCAGACGTGGTCAGATAGGATAGCCGAGGTCATACACGGAGGAGCAAGAGAGAGAGTATCCTTTAGCCAAGCCGAGGTCAGATCAGGGGTTCAGTAGAGCAGACAGGTCCAAGTGCAAGCCGAGTCGGTACCAGGAAGTCACAGGAAACAGGAACAAGGCACGGGGAGCTAGAGATCATCCAGCAACCATTGGAAGTGATGAGCCTCCTTATAAAGGCCGTGTTGGCACCAGACTGAGGCTGATGTGTCCTTCTGCGGCCATGTAGAGTATTGGCAGAAATGCCAGATGTTCCAGAACTCCTGCCGTTGACAGGACCCTGACAGTGGTACAGTCAACTTCTTGGTGGGGAAAAAAAAAAAGCAGGATTGATGTTGCTAAAGCTCATAAGAGCTTACAATCTAAAGATTATACTTCTAATGAACTGTGCTTTCACAGGTTACAGCAGGAAACAAACGGTAATATGAATCCAGCAACATTTTCAGGGCCATAAAATTAACACACATCATCACTTAGTAAGATTATCTATCCACAAAACAGGCTTCAGATCAAAATATCAATATAAAAAATACATAAAGTGCCAAAATAACAAAAGCCTCCCACCTCCCCAAATCCCCCACACATATATTTCTTATCAGGTTTGTCCAAAAACTGCATTTCAGTCTAAATAAGCCAAGTGCAGATTTGGAAGAACAGAGCAATTGACACGTGTTAGGATTACAATGCAAAGATAATAAACACACAGTCATTGTACAATAACACAAAAACACACTTTAGAAGGAAAAAAATGCTAAACATTTACAGCCCACATCAAAACACAGCCTGAGTGGGGTTTGGGGCAATTCAGCACAATATCTCTTCTTCTTCCCCCCAAACCACCACAGAGACAGACTTGCTGAAAATAACCTGGTTTATTACAAGGTGAAATAATCACCCACTACTGCAGGTCTTTATATAACATAGGTTGGATTTGGAGCACCCCAAACAAGGCCCCACCCCCAATGAAGGCCACCACCACCACTGTCATTCATTTGGTCAGAGAAAGTGATTGCACCTGATTATCCAGCACCAATCCTCTTCCCACCTGCGTTAACCCTTGGTATACAGGCCCCACAAATCAGAAAGAAAGCAACAGTGAAGTGTACCTGTGTAGCATACAACAGAAAATTGAACAGGGATGTGAAGGGGAACCCCATGGCAACATTTATTGGCACTATGGGCATAATTCACTCCAGATTATCGCATGAGTTAAGGCAGTCACATGATCACATCTCGCATGCAATACTGGAAATGTCAATTCACTTTTGCTAGTATGTGGGATTTCCCATAAATTGGAAAAACCACTCATGAAATCAAACATAAAAATACCTTACACCCTGGTCACATCAAAGCCGATTTGGAAATCATGTGACTTACAGTGAAGTTGCCGTTTTCCTTGTGATTTGCAAGACATCTGACAAAAGTAGTACATGTACTACTTTAGAAATCGGTGTTGGAAACGCATCCATGTGACCGCTCTAATAGCGGACAATATGGTGCGATTTGGCATACGAATTGCAAGTCGCATGTCATGCAAATTGCATGCCAAGTCGCACTCAATGTGACCGCTATTAGAGCGTTCATATTGGTGTGGTTCAAACTTGGTCGGAGCCGCAACGATTTATACAGTAGTAAATACACTACTTTTAACAAATAAATATAAGGAATGCGCTAAATAAATAAATAGTACAAAATAAATGTGAAAAATAAAAAAAATTATAAAAAATGTTCATAAATCAATAAGTATTCAAAAGTCTTCAAATAATGTCCACACTGTGTTGAATCCACCACCAGAGAAAATTAGGTTGTTTGCTGGGTAGTCAGTTCAAGCCAAGGTCAGGTACCAGGTGGGAATCAGAGCAGACATACTCAGATGGGATAGCCGAGGTCATACACAGAGGAGCGAGAGAGAGTATCCATAAGCTAAGCCGAGGTCAGACCAGAGGTAAGGCAGAGTAGACAGGTCCAGGAGCAAGCCGAGTCGGTATCTGGAAATCACAGGTCACAATCACAGGAAACAGGAACAAGGCACGGGGAGCTAGAGATCATCCAGCAACTTGAGGAAGTGATGAGCTCCTTATGAAGGCCATCTGGCACCAAACTGAGGCTGATGCGTGCTTCTGCGGCCATGCAGGGTACTGGCAGAAATGCCAGATCTTTTCAGAACTTCTGCCGTGGACAGGACCCTGACACTCCGTTCACATCCAATCTGATTTTGAAATAATGAGACTTCACTGTAAGTTGCCCAATTTCCAAATCGGATTAGATGCGGTACCATGTCACATTAGGCTGGCTGGGATCTGGGGGACCCCACAGCATTTTTTTTTTTTATTTTGGCATGGGGCTTCCTTTCTATGGATGGATGGATGGGAGGGGGGACCCCACACCATTTTTTTTAGTTATTTTATCAAGTCATGCGGCATTTTAGTAGTGGAGTTCCACACTGACAGCTGAATGTAAAAGAACTGCCAGCAATTTAAAAAATAATAAAAAAATGGTGTGGGGTCCCCCCTCCCATCCAAACCAAGCCCTTCGGGTCTGGTATGGATTTAGAGGGGAACTTCCACGCCACAATTAAAAAAAATGGCATGGGGTCCCCCCAAAATCCATACTAATCCAGACCCTTATCCGAGCATGCAGCCCGGTAGGTCAGGAAAGGAGGGGGATGAGCGAGCGCCCCCCCCCCTCCTGAACCATACCAGGCCACATGCCCTCAACATGGGGGGGTGCCTTGGGGCCTGGGGGCTCCCCCCAAAGCCCCTTGTCCCCATGCTGATGGGGACAAGAACCTCTTCTCCACAACCCTGGCCAGTGGTTGTGGGGGTCTGCGGGCGGGGGTTTATCAGAATCTGGAATCCCTTTTAACAAGGGGGCCCCTAGATCATGACCCCCCCTCCTATGTGAATGAGTATGGGGTACATGGTACCGCTACTCATTTGCCAAAAAACAAAGTGTAGTGTAAAAAAAGACAGGACACGGTCATTGATGTCACCTGCGGTGGGGTCACATGCGTGATGTCCCGGGGTGGCCCGCCCCTTACATATTTAAGAGCTGTCGACCCAGCTCAGAGCAGAGGGCTGGCAGCCATCATTGGGAACTGAACCTTTTTTTTCTTTTTTCGGGTCGCCGGCGGCTTATATCGTGATTGACGTTGGATCTACTTCAGGGGACATTATTTTAGATTTTTCTTTGCCCCAAAGCAACCCCCATGTTGAGGGCATGTGGCCTGGTATGGTTCAGGAAGGGGGTTGGGCGTTCGCTCGTCTACCCCCTTTCCTGACCTGCCGGGCTGCATGCTCGGATAAAGGTCTGGTATGGATTTTTAGTAGTGGAGTTCCCCACTGACAGCTGAATGTAAAAAAATTGCCTGCAATTAAAAAAATAATTAAAAAATGGTGTGGGGCCCCCCCCCCTCCAATCCACACCAAGCCCTTTGGGTCTGGTATGGATTTAGAGGGGAACTTCCAAGCCCCAATTTAAAAAAATGGCATGGGGTCCCCCAAAAATCCATACTAGACCCTTTTTCGAGCATGCAGCCCTGTAGGTCAGGAAAGGAGGGAGATGAGCGAGCACCCCCCCCTCCTGAACCATACCAGGCCACATGCCCTCAACATGGGGGGGTGCTTTGGGGCAGGGGGGCTCCCCTCCAGAGCCCCTAGTCCCCATGTTGATGGGGACAAGGACCTCTTCCCCACAACCCTGGCCAGTGGTTGTGGGAGTCTGCAGGCGGGGGGCTTATCGAAATCTGGAATCCCCGTTTAACAAGGGGGCCCCTAGATCCTGACCCCATGACCCCCCCTCCTATGTGAATGAGTATGGGGTACATGGTACCACTACTCATTCGCCAAAAAACAAAGTGTAGTGTAAAAAAAGACAGTACACGGTCATTGATGTCACCTGGGGTGTGGTCACATGCGTGATGTCCCCAGGTGGCCTTACATATTTAAGAGCTGTCAACCCAGCTCAGAGCAGAGGGCTGGCAGCCATCATTGGGAACTGAAATTTTTTTAAATTCTTTTTTCGAGTCGCCGGCGGCTTACATCGTGATTGACTTTGGATCTACTTCGGGGGGGACATTCTTTTAGATTTTTCTTTTAATAAAGGACTTGTCAAAGATCGTGTCCTGTCTTTTTTTACACTATAGTTTTTGTTTTTTGTGAATGAGTAGCGGTACCATGTACCCCATACTCATTCACGTAGGGAGGGGGGCCGGAATCTGGGAGCCCCCTTATTAAAGGAGGCTTCCAGATTCTGATAATCCCCCTGCCTGAAGACCCCCAAAACCAGGGGGAGCCCCCCTGCCCCAAAGCACCCCCCATGTTGAGGGCATGTGGCCTGGTATGGTTCAGGAAGGAGGGGGCGCTCGCTCGTCTACCCCCCTTTCCTGACCTGCCGGGCTGCATGCTCGTATAAGGGTCTGGTATCAATTTTGGGGGGACCCCACAGCATTTTTTTTTTATTTTGCCATGTGGCTTCCTTTCTATGGATGGATGGATGGGAGGGGGGACCCCACACAAATTTTTTTGTATTTTTTTAATTGCCGGTAATTCTTTTACATTCAGCTGTCAGTGGGGAACCCCGCTGACAGCTTAAACATTAACACATGGCTGTCACTACTAAAATATCGCATGAGTTATTTTATCAAGTCATGCAGCGTTTTAGTAGTGGAGTTCCCCACTGACAGCTGAATGTAAAAGAATTGCCAGCAATTAAAAAAAAATAAAAAAATGGTGTGGGGTCCTCCCTCCCATCCACACCAAGTCCTTCAGGTCTGGTATGGATATAGAGGGGAACTTCCATGCCACAATTAAAAAAAAATGTCATGGGGTCCCCCCAAAATCCATACCAGACCCTTATCCGAGCATGCAGTCCGGTAGGTCAGGAAAGGAGGGGGATGAGCGAGCGCCCCCCCCCCTCCTGAACCATACCAGGCCACATGCCCTCAACATGGAGGGGTGCTTTGGGGCAGGAGGGCTCCCCCCAAAGCCCCTTGCCCGCATGTTGATGGGGACAAGGACCTCTTTCCCACAACCCTGGCCAGTGGCTGTGGTTGTGGGGGTCTGCAGGCAGGGGGCTTATCGGAATCTGGAATCCACCTTTAACAAGGGGGCCCCTAGATTCTGACCCCCCCTCCTATGTGAATGAGCTTGGGGTACATGGTACTACTACTAGTGTACCATATAAAAAGACAGGACACTGTCAGGGCTCCCGGGTATGACCAGAGGTGTGTGACTGACGCAGGGAAACGCAGACTTCAGATATGTTATAAACAATATAATTTATTGACACTAACAATACAAACATAAACGCAGTGCAATACTAAAACATAACACAGTGCAAACGAACCAAACCAAACCACCCACAGATAACAGTACATACAATGCAAACGTCGTCAGGCAGGCCGGGTCAATATCAATCGGGCAGGTAGGTACAGGGGGAGCAAGCGGAGAATGGTCGGGGTCACAAGCCAGGTTCAGCAGGTAGCGGGCAGCGTGGTACAGAGGGTCAGGCAGAGGGATGGTCAGGAACGAGCCGGGGTCAGAGCAGGAGAAGTCAGCAGAGGTCAGATCAGGCAGGGTCAGCAACAAGACAGGAACAGGAACAGGATGCAGGAACAGGATGCAGGAACAGGATACAGGGCCCAGGAAAAACACACACCAAGGCAGAGTCTGCAGGTCTGGCCATCCCTTAAATACACCAGTATAAGCAGTTTCTGGTGTTTAGCTGGCTGCAAGGTTGAGTCTCTGATTGCTGGGAGCACCCGCTGGCAAGCCCTGGTACTGCAGCCCATAAGGCAGGCGAGTCCCACCATTGCTGGCCAGTCCATTCCTGACAGACATGGTCATTGATGTCACCTGGGGTGGGGTCACATGCGTGATGTCCCCGGGTGGCCCGCCCCTTACATATTTAAGAACTGTCAACCCAGCTCAGAGCAGAGGGCTGGCAGCCATTATTGGGAACTGAACCTTTTTTTTTTTTCTTTTTTCGGGTCGCCGCCGATGAAGCAACAGAGAAACGTGCACAAAATAACAGCTATCACACTTCAAGTAAGTGTCATAACACAGAACAATCTCAATCAGTTATAGATGTCCTGCAGTTCAGAATTTAAACAGTCCTGAGATGTTTCTTTCCCAGTGAGCCAAAATAAAACTACCAAACGAAAATTCTGGCAAGAGTTGAATTGGGTTGGAGGTGATATATTGCCAATGTATTGTTGTGCATAAAGATTGTTTTTGTCCACAATCAATTGATACAGGACTTCTATAAAAAAAAAAATCTAAAAAAAATCAAGGGGAGTTGTTAAATTCTCCGTCTCCACCTGAATTCCGGGATGGGCTATGAATGGGGGAATAATGGGTGCCGGTAAATCTGGGGGCTGTCAATTGGGATTTGCAAGCACCACTGGAAGGACACTGTGGGCTCTATGGGCTTGTGCACAATTTATTTGTGGCTGCTGGACACTACTAGTGCTAGACATCTCACCAGCATGGACTGCACTCTTGAGATTCGCCACATCACCATGAGACACTGCAGTGCTGGTGTATAATAGGCCAGGATGTACTAGGTGCTTGCGAGTCCACCAAAAGGTAGTGTAGCAGTAGTACTTGGACCCTGCTGCATATGAGAAAAATCATGCATTCCTAGCACTTCAGCTATCAGAGGTCAGGCCTGATCTTAACAGGATCTTAAATCTTCTCTATCTTTTGAGCTGCTTGTAGGGGTGTCGCTGATTTCTACAGGTTCATATTCTGAGCCTGATTCTGACAGTGAGGCTTCCCCTTCACTCTCATCTGTCATACTCAGAATCCCATACACCTCTTCACTAGTGTACCTTTCTTTGGACATTTTGGGCACAAAATTTACAGGTACTTAATGCAACAAATGGGAAAAGATCTGGCTGTCAAGGACTGCCTTAACGAATAGAAATAAAATCCTGCTGATGCTAGCAGAGGTCAGGCCTGATCTTTTTTCTAACGCTGCAGATTTGTGCACAATGCATCAGAGGTGGCTGTGATCTACTGACACTATACTTGTTGGGGGAGGCAGGAGGGCTAAACGCAAGTGCTGGCAGATATCGGGGGATGATTCTGCTAACGCTGCATTTTTGGAGCCATACAAAGAGGTATACTAAGGGGGGACGTTAATAATGTTCTGTTCATGGTCAATATATTGATTCATACAGACACTATACTAGCATAGTGTGTGGGCAATCTAACGCTAATGGACCCTGGCTTCAAGGGAGGCTACCTGATACTGTCTAACTCTATCTGATGTCACAAGTGATGCTAATACAGTGATCAGTGAAAAATACTGTACACTGACACTGTACTAATGGCACTAGCTGTGTGTGAGGGCGATCAAAGGGTTAAATGTGCCTAAGGTGTGTGGGTGCAGTGTGCTGCTTTTACTCACAGTGGTGTGTCTCTCTTCTCTTTCTGGACTGAAAAGGGTCCAGGAAGAGAAGAATCAGCTAGATTGAGTGCTTGAGTTTACAAATACAGGCAAAGGACTGCTCTTTCATTGGTTACAGTCAAACAGCAGGGTCCTGGGCAAAGTCATTGGCTGGGATCCGCTGACAAACTTGGCCTGCAGCAAATGACAGTGGGTTTACTGTGGGTGAGCACTTTGATATGTGCGGACAGATATATAAAAAATGAGTGACGTACAGGTAGGTTGCTGTGCCTTTGGAAGCTGTATGTCCACAGTACAACGTGGGCGGTCCTAAAGTGGTTAAACCTACTTTTTCCTTCATTATAAATCCTTGCACGCTTTCCCTGTTTTGTAATGTTTAGTAGTGTGCTATAGAGTAGTGTTTAACAGATTTAACCCTATCTGTACTGTATTTGAAATTCCTCATTATCAGTTGTAAACTAGATTTGAACACTGTCTGTTCTAACAAAGGATTAAACATTTAGAAATTGTCCTCCTACACTCATGTTGCTACTGGACCCCAGCTTGCTCACCGTGAACAACAGTTAGTGCTGAGACTTCGCACCTCAGGTGAGCCCATGTCATCCACCAGGGTGGCCTGCTTCTGTACTTATCCAGATGGTCGGTGGGAGCCTCTCTACTGCTATAGCTACTGTTTTCCGAGCTAGAACCCTGACCGTAACATCTTGTTGATTAATCATTCCACTGTCCAACTTCCTCAATTACCAGAGGATTTCAAAGGAAGTCTTTCTACATTGGGGGGGCTCTAGTGCTGGTGGGATCACCAGGTGAACTTTGTATCCTTTACAGCAGAATTATTGATAATAAGATTGAGACAAGAAACACTTCATTTATTTTAGAAGTAACTGTTACACTTAATGTAGTGTGTTTTTTTAGGAAGCTATAGGTAAAGATTGCCTTGTAGCTATTTGTAGTTTGTCTTCTAGACACCAGTTCAGAGGTCACTATGGATGTACAATTGTATTGGTATGCTGCCAATAATCTGTCTTTCTGGGTGGAGATGATAGCCTGTATAAATATTCAGGTATTTGGCAGAACATGGGCAAAAAGAAAATTGTGACTGTGAGGAGGTCGGCTCTAATGGAGGTACCAGTGATCATAGATGATGATACCCAGGAGGATAAACAGTTTTACAAGTTAAAGTGTTACCAAATCCAGAACCCTGCATTCACTATATCTGGTCTCCCACAGTACACAGAACATGGAAATGCAATTATTTTAGTAAATTTAAACTGCTAAATACCTTTCCTCTTCAGCAGTATATAGCAGTCGTGTGGCTTCTATCAGTGTCTGGCTGAGCACTGGGTAATCTTGTAGAAGGAATTTTCATTCTCCTTTGACTGCCCTATGAGGCTGCATGACCCCTTGACCCTGTCTGGACAGTGCTGAATGGCCCTGTGCTGATCGCATGCACCCTCCTCCACAAAAATTGGGGACTGTGGAAGAAGGGGAGGATCAGAGAAGACAGGATCAATCAGTCATTTTAAAAAATGCAGGGGATTAACCCCTTAGGTTCCACAGTGAGTATAACAAGCATGCTTTATTGCATATACAAACTTATTTTACTATTGTGGGTTTAGTAACACTTTATTTGCAAATTAAGGTCTTTTGGCATTGATTATATTGTATGTATCTGGATAGAAAACTGGCTGCAGGAGCGCATCCAGAGGGTGGGTATTAATGGCATATTTTCTCAATGGTCTAGAGTGTGAGTGGGGTACCCCCAGGGCTCTGTCTGGGGACAAATTCTGTTTAACTTGTTTCTAAATGGTATTGAGGATTGAATAAATAGTTCAATATCAGTGTTTGCTGATGATACAAAGCTAAGCAGGATAATATCAATATCATATGATAATTTCACTACAGGATATATAAACTTTACAAGAAGAGAGGTAGAGGGGTGGGCAGCTAGATGGCAGAAAAATATAATGCACTTGGGAGCTAAAAAATATGCATGAAAGTTACTTGCTAGGGGGAGAACATGTGGGGGAATCGAGGATGGAAAAGGATTTGGAGGTCCTATGTACTAGATCAAAGACTCAGCAATAGCATGCATCACCACACTGCAGCAAGTAAGGCTAGCAAATAATTAGCATGCATTAAAAGGGTATTTACTTGAGAAATAAGACTATAATTCTACCACTTTGCAAAACTCTGGTAAAGCCACATCTTGTGTATGCCATCCAGTTATGGTCACTGATCCTGGGGAAGGGTGTGCTTGAACTGGAGGAAGCCCAGAGAAGGGCAACAAAACTAATAAGGGGGTTGGAGGACCTTAGCTTTGGAGCTGGAGAAGAGGTGCTTAAAAGGGAATATAATCGCAGTATAGAGGAAACTATTAAAAAAAAAAAAACTACCGTATTTTTCGGACTATAAGGCGCACATAAAATCCCTATATTTGTACAAAAATCGGCAATGCGCCTTATATTCCGATGCGCCTTATGTATGAACAGTGTATGTTCACACTGTGCTGAAGAATCTGTCAAAATGTTTTTGGTAAGCGACGAAGCCACTCCCCTTGCTTATTCGAGCTTATCCTGGCGACGATAAACCAATCAGAGCCAAGCAATCAACAACAAATCAACACGAAACTATTAAGGCAAAGCTTTTTCACTTACCGAAAACTACTTTTCCTGATATGTACCGTGCT